ATGCCAGCCAGGGCTGGGACATTCCTAGTTTTATCACTGAAATTCCCACATCTCAGGAACCCCCTTAGTCCCAGGCAAACTGGCCTGGTTGATCAACCTAGTCCTAAATAAAACAAAGACAATGAGTTTTTCCTGATGCTTAAAGTATTTTATTTAAATTTTGAAAGACAATGAGATTTTCTAAAGCTAAATATATTTAATTTAAACTGAATTTTGTGATTCTGCTTTCCCAAATCTTAGCTTTAAAATATCACTTAAAAATACAATTTCAAAAATAAAATTATAGTGACAGTAGTTGGTAGTGTTGTCATATATTTATTAAAGTATTGTTGAGATACAACATTATATTAGTTTCAGGTGTACAACATAGTGATTCTACACTTATGTGTCTTATAATCACCACAATATGTCTAGTAACCATCTGTCACTGTCCAAAGATATTATGATATTATTGACTATATTTCTTGTGCTGTACATTAGATCCCCATGATTTATTATAACTGCAAGTTTATACCTCTTATTTCCCTTCACCTTTTTCACTCATCTTCCCACTTCTGCCCTCTGTCAACCATCACTTACTTCTCTATATTTATGAGTCTGTTTCTGTTTTTCTTTGTTCACTTGTTTTGTTTTTTGAAGTATGTATAAGTGAAATCATATGATATTTGCCTTTTTCTGTCTGACTTACTTTACTTAACATAATAACCTCTAGGTCCATCCATATTCCAGTAAATGCAAGATTGCATTATTTTTTATTGCTGAATAATATTTAATTGTATCTATGTGTATACATATATGTATATATATATGTATATATGTTACATCTTCTTTATCCAATAGATGAGTTATCAATAGAATATTGTAGTTTTTTAAATAGTTTGATTTGTCACAGATAATCTTCTGTCAGAACACCTCTTCTGGAAGTTCTGGCCAAGACACAGACATAGGTAGAAGAAATATTTTGCTTCCTTGCACAACCAAAAGGAGGATAATGACCAATTTAAATTCATTAACCAACAAGAATTGCCAGAAAATCAAACTTCATGGAGCTCTGACAACTAAGGTATTAAAAAAGCAGTCAACAAAAACAACCAGGCTGGTGTGCCAAGACAAAGAAATATGGCCCAAATGAAAGAACAGAGCAAAACCTCAGAAAGAGAGCAAAGCAATGGGGAGATGGCCAACCTATCTGTTGGAGAATTTAAAACTCTGGTAAACAAAATGACCACAGAACTGATTGAGTTTGGTTGAAAAATGAAAAAACAAATGAAAGATACTCAGAATGAAATAAAGCAAAATACTGAGGTAACTAACAGTGACAGGAAGGAAACCAGGAGTCAAAGTAAAGATATGCAACAAAAGGAAGAAATAAACATATAATTGTAAAGGAATGAAGAAACAAGAATTCATAAAAATGAAGAGAGGCTAAGGAATCTCTGGGACAACCTGAAATGTTCCAATATCTGAATTATAGGGGTGCCTGAAGGAGAAGAACAACAGCAAGAAATTGAAAAACTTATTTGAACAAATAATGAAGAAAAACTTCCCCAACCTGGTGAAGGAAATAGATTTCCAGGAAGTCCAGGAAGCCCAGAGAGTCCCAAAGAAGTTGGACGCAAAGAGGAACACACCAAGGCACATCATGATTAAGTTACCCAAGATTAAAGATAAAAAGAGAATCTTAAAAGCAAGAGAAAAGGAGACAGTTACCTACAAAGAGTGCCCATAAGGCTATCAGGTGATTTCTCAAAAGAAACCTTACAGGCAAGAAGGGGCTGGAAACAAGTATTCAAGGTCATGAAAGGCAAGGACCTACATCCAAGATTACTCTATCCAGCAAAATTTTCATTTAGAATGGAAGGCCAAATAAAGTGCTTCCCAGATAAGGTCCAGTTAAAGGAATTCATCATCACCAAGCCCTTATTATATGAACTGTTAAAAGGACTTATGTAAGAAAAAGAAGATAAAAAATATGAACAGAAAAAACGACAACAAACTCACAGCTATCAATAAATAAACTTAAAAGAAAAGACAAACAATGAAAACAAAAACTAAGAAAATAACTAGAACAGGAACAGAATCAGAGAAATGGACATCACATGTAGAGATTTCAGGGGGGATGGGGAAGGGAGGAATAGGGGGAAAAGGTACAGGGAAGAAGAAGCATAATTGGTTCAAAGTAACAAAATAATAAAATAGACAGGGGAAGGTTAAGAACAGTATAGGAAACAGAAAACTCAAAGAACGTACATGTACAACTCATGGACATGAACTAAGTGGGGGGCAGGGGAAGCTGGAGGGTTGGGGAATGCAGGGCAGAGGGAGGATAAAGGGGTAGAATTTGGTAAAACCATAGTAGCATAATCAATAAAATATACTTAGAAAAAGGAACACCCCTTCTTATTTCTAGTTGTCATACTGGGGTCTTTGACCTAAAGGTGATAATGTTCGTGAGGGACATGTGGGGTTAGTTGTGAATACAATTCCTGAGCTTGAAACAACTTATGTTCCTATTTTGCTGGTTTACACACTGCTTAGAGAAAGTGGCCTTTCTTCTACCATCTCTGTCTTCCCTTTTAATTATTTCCCCATCCTTAAGCATTTTTTGAAATCCTTAGGCTTTTAATTGTAATGTTTGGAGGGTCATCAGGGAGAATATGGGGGAAGGTTGCTGGTGAAAGAAAAGTGGGAACTGATGGCTCTGCCATTGAATTACTGGGTAATCTTGGGCAAGTCACTTAGTTTTATGACCCTCAATTTTCTCATTTGTGTATTGGGGTTAATACCTTTCTTACCAACCTAAGGAGATTGTTGGGCAGAGCACATGAAATAAAGGGCTTGGAAGGGACGATGATGATGCAGATTCAGAAGTTTATTAGCTTGTTTTCTCTCATCCTCTGGGCTGCACTTATTCACCAGAGGGGGAGTCCATAAGAGAGGGCTGCTTGCACTTTTCATAATCTTACCAACTCTACTATAACAAACAGAGGTATTACCTCATTGTGGGCAAGTATACTTGCTTTCTAACAGCAATTACTCAAAATGAATTCTACTTCTATTGGCTTTCAACCCCTCATGACATCTTTCTCTAATTTCCTCCACTCACAGGCAAAAAGCCTCATTCCCAGGGGCACAGCTCAGGGTACTTTCTTCCCAAGCCCTAACATTCCAAAGTAAGCACCTGTAATTTATGATCTCTGCTCCCTTCCTGTACAAAACACATAGCACACCATATACATGTATCAGGAGAGAAATTTCAGTGGAGTGAAAATAGAGCATTATACTAAGACTGAAATAACTGGGCTGTGGTTTGGCCTGTGTACCTCACTAGCCCTCTACCCTTGGGTAAATCACTTCCTCTCTGTATTCCCATCTGTAAGCAATGGACAGGGGTTAACACTGTGTGGTAGGAAAGTACTGGCCTAGGAATCTGCAGATCAGGTTTCTTATTCCGGAGTTGTTTCTTGCTAATTTACTCTGTGAGTTGGGACAAATCATTTCCTCCTTTACCAGGCCATGCTCCCCCCATATGTAAAACAAGAAGGTTGAATTAGGTGATTCATTAAGGTCCCTGCCAGCCACGAAATTAGATGCTTTTATGAAAAGAGTTTTATTAAATAAAGTGGACTTGAAGTGCCTACTCTGTGCAAGACACTATGATGGTTGTTGTGAAAGAGGTCATAGTGAATACGGTGCCTGAGATCTTGAATATGGTTGCTGCTTGCTCCTACAGTAACAGGTTGACCCTGTAGAGCCAGTTCCTGTACATTTTTTGCTGTTGATCTCCCACCCTTGAACCCTTCTCCCAACACCTGTAACTTTAACCAGTAATGGGGAAGCTTTTGAAACATACTCCACCATCTGCCTGCTGGAGACATTCACAGTGCTGTCAGCAGTATGGGCTCTGGCTGCTCTAATTGAGAAACAGGCCATTAAGCAATGGTAGATTAATAGAGTTGGAAGGAAAGTGGTTGATTTTTGACAGAGGGGTCTGTGAAAGCCATTTGTGAGCTTGCCCAAGAAGATTAGATTTAAAATGACTCTCAGCATCTTGAATCTGAGATAACTTGTTCCAAATGCATCTTGGAAGGCCCATATAATTACTTATTTGTTCATATTGCCAGGCAGGGGGTACCTGATATATTGTAGAAAGATGAGAAGCTTTTTGATCACATTAAGCAAAAGAAAATGTGGCTTTTCTTAGTAGTTAGTCCAGAGTTAAACAGCCTTCACTGGTTAGAAAGTTGCCTCACATTTTAATTTTGGGAGAAAGTGACTGAATAGTGCTTACTCAGTGATAAGCATATAGTGTGAGACTAGGCACCCCTTGTTTTATTTTACCCATTTCAACTTGGCTGCTGTATCCCTGTGAAAAGCCAACATGAATACACTATTGCACATCTTATCTAGTTCAGCTCCATGGTGAGCTCTTCTTCCCTCTTCTCCCTTGTATTAGGGGCAAGTCTTGTGCACTGTCTTCCTTCCTTTGCTCACTGGAAACAACTCGGTTCCTGGCCCTCTTGAGATAACACTTCTTTCCAAGCCTCCAAGCCAGCAAGGCCATTCCAATGGAAGCCCGAGATTCTCTGAGCAACTTGGGTTTCATTCAGGCTTCCCTCTAGCCATTTGTTCCATGTTGGGTATCAAGAGTTAAAAGATGTCATATCAGGCTGCATTTGAGTTGGCAGAGAAGTCACTAATTCAGTTCTATGTTTTGTTTTGTTTTGTTTTTTCATTGCAGCCTAGAGAACATAAAACTCAAAATCAGGTGAAAGAAAGGAAAGATGGGAAAACTGCTGGAAAGCAGAATGCTATAAGGGCCCAAATGGTCCTTGAGTATAACCTCATTGAGGAGCAAGGACCAAGTAAGTGGCCCATAAATGAGTCTCAGGACTGAGTAGTCAGATGAAAAATAGCCTAATGGAGACTACATGATAATTTTCTGTGTTTGGTGCTGTGACCCAATTCATCTCTCCATACCTGCAGAGAAACCCAGGACCATGAAGAGCAGCCTGACACTGGTGGGGACCTTCTGGGCCTTCCTGTCTCTTGTTACTGCTATGGCCAGCTCTACCAGTTACTTCCTGCCATACTGGCTCTTTGGATCCCAGCTGGGGAAGCCAGTGTCATTCAGCACATTCCGGAGGTGCAACTACCCTGTGCGAGGAGAGGGGAACAGTTTGAGCATGGTGGAAGAGTGTGGGCGCTATGCCAGCTTTAGTACCATCCCAAGCCTTGCCTGGCAGATGTGCACTGTGGTGACAGGTGCTGGCTGTGCTCTCCTCCTCCTGGTGGCATTAGCTGCAGTCCTGGGCTGTTGCATGGAGGAGCTCATTTCCAGAATGATGGTACGTTGCATGGGAGCAGCACAGTTTGTGGGAGGTAAGACAGTATTGCTGGGATTGTGTAGGTTGGGGAGTTTTGCAGAGGGCAGGGAGGGAGTGGGAAGTGTTACCTTATGGGAAATCCCTCTCATCCCTTCCACTATGTCCATCTCTAAGGCTATAAAAGGGGACTTCATTGAAACAGTCTAGGACTCTCTAAACTGCAATCTTTTAAAAAATAGATTTTATTGATTATGCTATTACAGTTGTCCCATTTTACCCCCTTTATTCCCCTCTGCCCTGCACCCCTTTCCCACCCACATCACCCCCCCCCCCGCCTTAGTTTATGTCAATGGGTTGTACATATAAGTTCTTTGGCTTCTATATTTCCTATAATATTCTTAACCTTCCCCTGTCTATTTTATACATACCAATCATGCTTCTTTTCTCCTGTACCTTTTCCCCGATTCTCTCCCCACCCCCTCCCTGCTGATAACCCTACATATGATCTCCATTTCTGTGATTCTGTTCCTGTTCTAGTTGTTTGCTTAGTTTTTTTTTTTTTGTAATTTTACGTTCAGTTGTTGATAGTTGTGAGTTTGTTGTCATTTTACTGTTCATAGTTTTTTAATTTTTTTCCTAGATAAGCCCCTCTGACATTTCATATAATAATGGCTTGGTGATGATGAACTCCTTTAACTGAACATTGTCTGGGAAGAACTTTATCTGTCCTCTCATTCTAAATGATAGCTTTGCTGGATAGAGTAATCTTGGATGTAGGTCCTTGCCTTTCATGACCTTGAATATTTGTTTCCAGCCCCTTCTTGACTGCAAGGTTTCTTTTGAGAAATCAGCTGACAGTCTTATGGGAGCTCCTTTGTAGATACCTCTCTCTTTTCCTCTTGCTGCTTTTAAGATTCTCTTTTTATCTTTAATCTTGGATAATGTAATTATGATTTGCCTTGGTGTGTGCTTCCTTGGGTCCAACTTCTTTGGGACTCTATGAGTTTCCTAGACTTCCTGGAAGTCTATTTCTTTTGCAAGCTTGGGAGAGTGTCTCTTCATTATTTTTCCAAATAAGTTTTCAACTTCTTGCTCTTCCTCTTCTCCTTCTGGCACCCCTATGATTCAGATGTCGGAATATTCAACATTGCCCTGAAGGTTCCTCAGCCTCTCCTCATTTTTTTTTTTTTTGAATTCATCTTTCTTCATTCTGTTCTGCTTGAATGTTTATTTTTTCCTTTTGGTCCAAACCATTGATTTGAGTGCCGGTTTCCTTTCCTTTATTGTTGGTTCCCTCTACATTTTTCTTTATTTCACTTTGCATAGCATTCATTTTTTCCTCTGTTTTGCGACCATACTCAACCATTTCTGTGAGCACCCTGATTACCAGTGTTTTGAACTGTGAATCTGATAGGTTGGCTATCTCTTCATCGCTTAGTTGTATTTTTTCTGGAGCTTTGATCTGTTCTTTCATTTGGGCTATTTTTTTTTGTCTCCACCCTCCTGTTATGTAGTAAGGGGCAGAGCCTTAGGTATTCTCCAGGGCGGGGCAACCCAAGTTGCTGTGTTGTGGCGCTGTATGTGGGGAGGGGTTCAAAAGGGAACATGCTGCTTGCTCATCTGCCGGCCAGCTCTCAGTCACTTCCTCTGCTACCCACAAGCAAATTGGGCCCTTCTGGTGCTGATTCCCAGGTGGGTGGGTTTGTGTACATTCTAGGACCCTGTGGGTCTCTCCATCTAACTCTCTTGTGATACTGGGAGTTTCTCCTGGGGCCACAACCCCAACAAGTTTTTTCAGTCAGAGGTTTTGTGGCTTTATTTCCCTGTTCTGGAACCCTGGGTTGCACAGTCTATCTCAGTCCCCAGCTGTTCCTCCCAGTTTATCTGCATGCAAATGTGGGACCAACCAGTCTGCCCTCTTCTGCCTCACTTGCCCCAGTCAGCCAGCTACCTCCCTTCCTACCTTTTTGGATGAATGTTTCTTCTTTAACTCCTTGTTTGTCAGACTTCCAGACAATTCAATTTCCTGGCAGTTCAGGTTGTTTTTTGTTTTTAAATTTGTTGTTGTCCTTGTTTTGGTTGTATAAGGAGGCACAGTGTATCTACCTACTCCTCCCTCTTGGCCAGAAGTCCATTTTTTTTTGTCTGTGAACCACCTAAACTGCAATCTATATCAAAGTGGCATTCACAGCAAAATTGGTTAGTAGGTAGTTGATATCTGGTTTCTTTTTCAGCCTCCATTTTCATCACCTTCTGCCTTCAGGGTGTTTATTCAAGAATATTATGCAGGTCTACTTTCCAGGAGCAACAACATATATTATAGTTTTACTGCTTCAAAATAAACTTATCCTTTATAAGCCCAGATCTCAGAGGACAGTGATGCAATAAACACATACATACAAATGTTAATTACTAACAAGAGTTTAATATAAAGTTCTCACCAAAGAAATATATCTGTAATAGTGAAATTCTAGGTGCAAAACAGACTGCAGATAACTGATTATTTGTCCCACATCTAAGGCTATCACTGTCTGGTAGCTGTTAACAGTCTACTCAGATTTCTTATGGCCCTATCCCATCCTTTAACCCTCTAAATTAGTGTAGGTAAACTGGGATGCTGACACTGTATAAATGGGCTAGGAAAAACCAAATGCAAAATAACAACCTGCAGGAAGGCAATGGGAGCACTTTAATTTGAATTATATAGGAGAAAAATAGCAAGAGTAGATGGACAAATATATATATATGAATATGTGAGCTATATTTTACACCTGGATGAGGCACTGGAAAAAAGTGCTGATAGAAGCTGTAAGTTGAAGTGTGTTGTTGTTGGTCATGAAGTTTTTGAATCATTATTCAATTCATTATCATCTTCATTAGCAACACAGTGTGGGTAACTGGAGCCAAAAAAAACGTGGATCCCACTTCTGGCTCTTCCACTAAGTTGCCCTCTGACCATGGGCAAATAAGAATAACCTGTCCTGTGTTCACTTCCTTTTTTCCTTGAATTTGTTCACTGGCAAGATAGCTCAGATCCCAATTTTCTTTATTCTCTCCAATGACTGAATTCAGGTAGTCTTAGGGTGAGATGGTAGTGATGAGGTAAGACTCAACAGGGACTGATTTTTCACCTCCTATCCCTGGGGACATCTAGTAATCTTTGTGAGGAAGTTTTGGTTATCACAGTTTGAGGAGAGTGTTACTGGCATCCACTAAGTGAAAGCAAGGGATGCCACTGAGTACTCCACAGTTCACAAGAACAAGACACCTACCCTTTTCCCAAAACAAAGATGTATCAGGCCTAAAATGTCCATAGTGCCAAAGTTGAGAAACCCAGAGGTAAGATAACATGCTTTCCTGGCCTGCTTATGAAAAGCACCAGATTCTTTTTGTTGAATTACAGTTAAGGTGATGTTTTCAGATTCTATCTTTCCTCAGACTCATTGTAAAGGTTTTAAATTTGCACCAACACTCTAGCCTCTATTATCTCTAAATATTTCCACTCTAAATACTACTTGTTTTCTGGACACATTGAAAAGTTATTAGGTTCTTTCTTTCTTCCTCTTGAAAACCATGGTATAGAACCAATTACTAAGGCTAGTCTAAGCCAATGGATTAATCTCCATTTAGGGGCTCCCTGGATATCACAAATGAACTTTAAGTAGGCTCACCTTTCACTTAGCCTGAAGGGTGGCCCTTGAAATTCTTATTTATAGCTCCAGGTCCCATTTCAGCATCAGGCACAGAACAGGTTTTTAATAACTGTAGATAGAAGGAACACAGGACTAAGGCAATGTTTAGTGTATGTTGGGATAAGATGGACATATGAGAGCTAGCTTCATTCACATCCCTTCCTTCCCTTTCAGGCTTCCCTCAAGGGAGTTAATATCCTGAGTTAACTTCTCTCCCACTTTGAGAGTGACAAGTTAACCTCCTTTGCAATTCTAAGAATTTCTGGCAGAGAGTAAGGAAGTGCTAAGTGGTAGGAATCAGAAGGGAGAAGATGGGGACAACTGTAATTGAACAAAATAAAAATGTTTAAAAAAGAAGTTCAGTAGCAATAGCCTCCATTAGACTCTAAGAATTAACAGTGGCTCCTACTCCCAGCTTGTATCCTGCCTTAGACTTTGCTGAGACTTTTATAAACATTCTTATGTTTCCCCATGTGACATATTTTAGCTGAACATACCTCCTAGGTCTAGAAACTCAAATAAAATTGTTGAGGGAAGATGTGGGAAAATAATGGAGATTTAGACACACATACACCAAGTGGGGAAGGACTGAGTGCTAGGTGTCATACGGGGAAATCAAAATAGTGCCAGTTTCATCTCATATGATGCTGCCTTTCTCTATTCTTCATTGACCTTTGCTCACACGAACATGCTCACAGTATTTATACTTAGATGAGGGTCTTTAAAATTCAAGAATGAAATGCCATTTGATAGTAGTCGTGGAGAGTCAAGACCCAAGATGTGCTATAAGGTTTATCCCTGGGCAAGAGAATGATATTGGAAAAATTGCTAAATTTCCACAGCTTCCACATATGTAACATCAATAAACTAATAGTTGTTACCACCCCCATTTTAGAAATTTATGCCTATTAAATTGCATCAGATGTGAAGAAGTGGTGAAGATTGCTTGGATATATCATATTTTCTAGGAGTCCTTTGGCACATGATCATTACCCAAGACTCTTTAGACATCTCAGGCCTGCTTGATCCCTTATAGATGGGCTCTTACCAGTGACAGATCACCAAGCCATGGAGCATTTTGAGCTCCAAGGATAAAAGACACAAGAGAAAGAGCTGTGGAGGTTTAGTTTAAACTTATTGTTCAGCTGAGGGGAATAGATTTTGTTGCTCCAGGCCTGGCTGATTCTCAGAAGCTAGAGCTTAACTGAAATACATTAGGGGGAGGAACCAATTTGTTTCAGGACTGGTTTATCTCTGCCAGACCCCAAACCACTGAAGAGATGGAGTATCCATTAAGAACTATGTCCTCCCCCTGCTTTATTCTTTTTTGCTATTTGGCGGCTTCCCACAGAGATGAGCAGTG